TATGTGGCTGGCGCCTTAGCCGCTTGAGCCACAGGCGCCGAGCCACTCTCTAATTGTTGATAACTATTCCCCAGTAGTATTTGATAGTAATTATATTTGTATGTGTTCAAATTTATTGAAATGGGAAAGTTCTGTTTAAAAAGTAAAATTTCCTTTTGTTTTTCCTGTTATTTATTTTTTTAAATCCGGAGCATATAAAACCTCCTTAAAAGCCCGCAGAAATATTATGAAAGTTTGGCTTTTCATCCAGGTATATTTTTTGATGTAGCGTCTTGTTAAGCTGCCCAGAATTGAGTTCAGTGACCATCCACAGGCAGATCATAGCTCACTATAGCTCAAACTCTAGGAGATCAAATAGTCCTCCTGCCTCAGCCTCCTGAGTAGCTGGGACTACTCAGGTGCCTGCCTGAGTAAAAGGCCAGTAAAAATTTTTTTAAAGCATACTTCTTAGCAGTATCCCAATGAAACTTTATGTCTTTGCGTCAGCTTTTGAAAAAAGAAGAAAGTCTGGGGAAAATGGAGCAAGAATTGGAGGCAAGAACCAGAGAACTTAGTCACACCCAGGAGGAGTTGAGGACCTCGAATCGGATGTCATCAGACTTAAGCCAGAAGCTAGAAGAATTGCAGAGACACTACTCAACGCTGGAAGAGCAGAGGTTCTTGCTTGGTCTGTGGGGCCCTTGGGAAGAGGTGTTAGTATAGCTGTGACCATAGCCCACCCACTTCTCCCATTGTTCATCGCAGCAGTCCTGATTCCAGGGCTAATAAAAGCTTCTGGACATGTCCTTACCTGCTGAGGACTCAGGGCCTACCTACCCTACCCCCAACCCTTTTTCCCATTTGCCTGCCTGCACTCAGAATAGTTTCAACCTTGCTGAGCATTTTAGTATGGTTTTAGTTTATAAGCTATTGAGTAAGTGAAGACAGAACAGGATTTCTTTTTTTCTTTTTATTTATTTATTTTTTGAGACAGAATCTCACTTCTTTGCCAGGACTAGATTGCCATGGCATCATAGATCACTATGGCCTCAAATCCTTGGACTCAGGCGATCCTCCCGACTCAGCCTCCTGAGTAGCTGGAACTATAGGCACTGCCACAATGCCTGGCTAACTTTTCTGTTTTTAATAGAGATGGGGTCTCGATCTTACTCTGGCTGCTCTCAAACTCTTGAGCTAAAGCAGTCCTCCCATCTGCACTTCCCATTGTCCTAGGATAAGGTGACCAGACGTCCCACCTTTGGCGAGGCAGTCCTGATTTTTAACAGTTTGTCCCGCGTCCTATGGCATTTTTAAAAAGTCCCGATTTTTGGAAAGAATGCACGACAAGCTAGGAAACATGAGAGAACAGGAAGGGAATATATGGTTTTTGGCTGCCATGTGGCTATTTCCCCAGGATATGAGTTTTATATTATTTTTGTTAATTTTATAATGTTAAACTTTAGTAATAACAAATAATTGTTGAGAACTGATTATCGAGAACTGCTTATCAAAGTTTGCATTGTTGTCAGGCCCTGCCCCCCCCAATGGGGTCCCACTTTACCAATGTTAAAATCTGGTCACCTTATCCTAGGATCACAGGAGCCACCAACCAGGATTCCTTTCTTGGACTTGGGTGGACTTTTTCTCTTTCAGCTTCTGCTTCAGAGAGAGCCATGGAGTCTTTTTCTATTGATAATCTTCATGTGGCTAGTAACACTTATACCCCTGATGTAGAGGGAATCATTTGTATTATTGCTGTGCAAGAGTGATATTCAAATTTGTTCATTGTTTCCTTTTTTTCGATGAAGAGATCATGTAATAGCTTCAAAGACAGGTGCAGAAAATAAGATCATAGCCCTGGAACAGAAGGAACAAGAGCTCCAAGCACTCATTCAGCAGCTGTCTATTGATTTGCAAAAGGTAAATAGAGTATGTTAGCCCCATGGAAGGGTGGGAGAGTTTTGCTCTTTTTCTGTACATTGGGATAGTTTGTATATGGTTATCATTCTTGGGTCCTTAAATGTTCACTAGAAATTTCCATGAAACCATTGGATTTTGTATTTGTGTGAAGATTTTAAATTACTGAATAGATTTTTTTAATGGTCAAGTTGTTTTGTTTTTTTTTTGGCCGGGGCTGGGTTTGAACCCACCACCTCTGGCATATGGGGCTGGCACCCTAGCCCTTTGAGCCACAGGCACTGCCCCAGATTTCTTTAATGGTAATAGAATTATTCTAATTGTACATATTTTCTCCTAAAACAGTTTTGTTAACTTACATTTTTCTACATAAATGTCCAGTAAGTTCAATATTTTTGGCATTATATTCTTTACATTCTCTTCTTTTTTTTTCCCCCCTGAAACAGGGGCTCATTCTTCCACCCAAGCTGTGGTGCACTGGCACAGTCTTAGCTCATGGCAGCCCCAAACTACTCCTTGCCTCAAGCAGTCCTCCTGCATGAACCTTCCAAGTAGCTGGGAGTATAGGCATATGCCATCATGCCCGACTAATTGTTTTATTTTTTTTGTAGAGATGTGGTCTCAATGTGTTTCTCAAGCTAGTCTTGAATTCCTGGCCTCAAGCAGTCCTCCCATGTTGACCTCCCAAAGCACTGGGATTACAGGCATGAGTTTCCATGCCCTGTCCCTCTTCTTTTTAATTGCAACCCTCTCTTCATTCTCAGTAGTAATTGTATATTTTCTATTTTTTTCTTGTTCATTCTTGCCAAATTAACAAATTGTTACTTTAAATTCTTTCCATTTGTTTTTATTTAACCCACAGTATTCAGAATTATAATTTTTTTATTCTGTTAGATAGTAATTCCTTAGATACAGCCATTATCTTTCCATTTCCCAATTTATGCCTCTTCTTTTCTTTTCTTTTTTTTTTTTTTTTTGAGACACAGCCTCAAGCTGTTGCCCTGGGTAGAATGCCATGGCATCACAGCTCACAGCAACCTCAACTCCTAGGCTCAAGCGATTCTCCTGCCTCCACCTCCCAAGTAGCTGGGACTACAGGTGCTTGCCACAACAACCATATATTTTTTAGTTGTAGCTGTCATTGTTGTTCGACAGGCCCTCGCTGGATTCGAACCTGCCAGCTCAGGTGTATGTGGCTGGCTCCTTAGCCACTTGAGCCACATATACCTGAGGCCACTGAGCCAGCCTTTTCTAATCTGTATTGTCTTAACATAATACAGTAGAACCTCCATAGCTGACCAGCTCCCACTTGACCACCTCCTTAAGCCAACCTGATTTTTTTTTTTTTTTTTTTTTTTTTTCATACACAGTCCCCCTGGGTAGAGTGCCGTGGCATCACAGCTCGTAGCAACCTCCAACTCCTGAGCTCAAGCGAGTCTCCTGCCTCAGCCTCCCAAGTAGCTG